GAGTCGTAGTTTTGGAGGGGCGCTTCTACTCCTCTCATTTCTTGACAAACTCAGTGTGCATGCTTAGAGAAAAGTGTTGTGTCAACTTAAGGATACAATGTGTGCACAAGAGTACATGTAATAGCTTTGCTACTTTTGCTCATTTGTGTATTTGCATTTTGATGTATTGGACACTCAGCCATATTCATGTACTGTGATGATATTCTATTTGATTGTTGGTTTCTTTCTACTTGGGACAGTAAGGATAGATTTGTGGAGCAAATGGTTCCCCATCAGCAGGTGCCTGGCAGTTATGTGCTTTTCATCTGAATTCCTGTCAGTAAAAGTGTGGCAGCCTTAATTGAACTTGCTACAGGGAAATTAGCTGGCCGTCACCTCTGATGTCCTCGTCTCAGACCTGGCAGAGAGAGAGAGAGAGAGATCCTCAAGTGTTAACGTCTGAGTTTTTTTTTCTTGTTTTTTTTCTCCTACAAGGTGGTTTTCTTTTCAAGGTTGTTTATGCTGAAAACATTGGTTTTTGCTCGCTGTCAAGCACATTGATAATATTGTTCATCCTGCTCCCTACACCCCATCCCTGTCCTTGTTGTCTGCTGTCAATATGGCTTTCCTTGTTTAGTTATATCATTTCTTCCAATTTTGCCTTAGTTTGAGTAGGAGCAATGGACATGGAAAACTGAACAATTTGAATGTAGATTATGTTAGTTATTGCATCAATAGTGCACTTGATGGAGATACTGTTTTGTCTCGGAGATACTGTTTTGTCTCGGAGATACTGTTTTGTCTCGGAGATACTGTTTTGTCTCGGAGATACTGTTTAATGTAAAACTTTGGTTATTGTTGCACTAGGTCAACAACAAAGCTATGGCCAGTATGGTCAGCAAGCCGGGTATGGCCAAAGTTCCGATGTCTCAGGTGGTTATGGAAGCCAGCAGTATGGGCAATGTAAGTGCTGTGCCTTGTCTCTGTGCTTTGTCTCTTAGGACCCTCATGTACTGGGGGGTCCTGCCTTCTCCTTTAACAACCGTAGCATTTCCTTGTATAGATTTTTACTGTTACTGTTGGTTTTTCTGCTCTAAACTGAACATTTTGTTTGTTCGTTTTTTTTTCTTACATATAGTTAGATAAATGAAATCTGCATGTACATTTTCTCTTTTCAAATCTTCTAATGGCTTTGGTGTTGCAATTCTGTTGATCCCCTGTCCTTTGCAGTGCTTAAAAAAGGATTTATGCAAAGGTGAAGGAAGATGTCTTCCTACCAGTAGGTGTGGTGTACATGGCAAATCATGCATCTGAACTTGCCTGATGCACATACCTAGTTTGGCACTGGCATCCATTGTATTGTGACCTTTACCCTAACCTCATTCTTCCAAAGTACAGCCTCGGACACGTCGGAAGCAAAGAAGAAAGTGTTTTGAGACTTTGTTTTCTTTCCTTACGCTTTATTTGAATGTGTTTACAACTCATACCATTTTTGCTGCTTCACTTCGTCTGATATTTTTTTACATACTAGCATAAAGCTAATATAATTTGAAAGAAATGACAGAGTGAATACCTGAAATCTCGAGGGAACTATTGCAAAGAGAGCTAGTTCTTGGTGTGGGCAAACTATGTGCATTCTGGAAGAGAATGTCGGCACGTACTGGTAGAATAGTTAGGAGTAAAAAGGTACCAAAATGGTGAACTTCTTACTTACGTTACTTGTTTTCCTGAATCAAGCCTCTGAGATTTCATTGTCATGTTGTAACTTAGAAATTTGTCCTTTTGTAACATCCTTTTTCTGACTTAGTGATTGATATCTTAGTAGCAGGTTGCCGTTCCAGACAAAGATAGCAAGATTTCAATATTTGCGGCTTGGTAAATAGGTCTGAATGGCTTTCAGGTATTCACAGACAGTAAAACATCAATAGTAAACTCTGGAAGTTGCATGCACTTGCTTCACTTAATAACATACAAAAAATACTTTTCTAGATCTTTGGTCAAAGGATAGCTCCCCTTGAATGGTACAAGTGCAATAGCTTGTTGGGCTGGTCTAGAGATTTTACTGTTCCTTGGCTAGATGATGAGATAGTGGCTAGATGATGATGAGATAGTGGCTAGATGATGAGGTAGTGGCTAGATGATGATGAGGTAGTGGCTAGATGATGATGAGATAGTGGCTAGATGATGAGATAGTGGCTAGATGATGATGAGATGTTGTTGTCTCTCTCCAGCTGGCTACGGCCAGACCCAGCAGGGTGCTGTAGCAGGTGGCTATGGAGCCGGTGGAAGTACCGGGGCCGGTGGAGATCCGTATGCTCAGAGTGGAGGCTACTCTGCTGGTCAGCAGGGAGCGGGGGGTTATGGCCAACAGGTAAGTTCTGACCTTCTTTGTTGAACATTTTGTGAAAGTCAATTGCCTCATCCTAGTTGTGCTAAGTTAACCCTGGAAGTGCGGCGGCCCCATATAATGGGCGTGAGCCGGGCATCCCGGGAAGCGTGCAGTTCCTACATATACGGCCGACCTACTTTGACCTGGAAGGGCAGGCCCTATGTAAAGGGCATTGACCCTGACCTGCTTTAATGTAACATTTCAGTGTTCTTTACGGTAAAGAACATTATTATAATAGTAAACTGCAGGTCCAAGTTTTAATTAGTGACCAATGAGTGCAAGTTTTTTTTTACTTCATAATGCGTCCCTTGGCCCAGATATTTATCAATAAAGTGACGCGGTCCAGCTGAACAACTACACGCTATGTGTTATTTGTTCCGCTGTGCTAATCTAATGTGATATCTGCTATTATGTGGAATTCCTTTTCATTGATCTTGGAATGTGGTCTGACTTGATGAGAAAATTGTGCTGGGGAAAGTGTAAAACTGACCATCCTTGGGCTCTTAAGATATTTTTGAAAGATGGCAGCTTTCCTTGAGGTGGTGTAGGTCCGTGGAGAGTCTCTGACATTTTCTTCTCCTGCTCTGATTGTGTGTTTGTCCTGGTCTCAATCACACAGGAATTTTACTTCCTATTTCAGTCGTAGTTATGCAGGTGGTTGGCAGGGTTTGCTTCTTCTTTCTTATCGAACATCAATTGTCTGGATCTCTCTTCCTTCTTTTTTTGTGTTTGTTACCCTTGTATAACACCTAATCTTTGGCACTTATGACCTTATTGTATTGCAAGTGCTGTAAAACTCATGCTAAAACTAAAGACCTAGATTTAAATTATTTCCTTCTGTTTTCCTGGTTCATTCAGGTGCCCATGCTGCAGTTTTCATATTTGAGTTTCTCTTTATAAATCTCTCCCCTCCCTTCAGACTCAGCAGGGCGGCTATGGTAGCACAGGTGGCTACAACCAAGGAGGTGGGGCTGGTGCCGGCGGGGGCTCTGGTGCTGGCTACAACCAGGCTACCGGAGGAGGAGGAGGCTCTGGCGGTGGCTACAATCAGGCTGCCGGAGGAGGAGGCTCTGGTAGTGGGGGCTACAGCCCGCCGAGTGGAGGAGGAGGAGGTAGCAGCGGAGGCTACGGAGGGAACGGTTACTCCAGCAGAGGAGGAGGAGGGGGAGGCTATGGAGGTGGACGTAAGTTGTTGACATTTTTGCTTCCATGCCAGCCTGTATGCTTTGTGGGAAACACGAGACTAGCTTGCTAGATACAGTAATGGCAGTCATGAAATGGCCAAACTCTTAAATATGTTTTTGATTTTATCAGAGGCAGGAAGATAAACCAGAGTCTAATCAGTTGTATCTGTGAACTTCTATAACTGTTATGACACTATTTTAGAGTTTGGGAGAGTGGGTGATTGGCAGGTGCTCTGGTTTGGTTTTCTCCTTTTTTTCTATCAAACATCTATCAATCTTATCTCCCATAATTCTTTTTTAATTCAATTACTTGTACACACAACCACTTTTCACTCTCGGCCTTGCTTTGTTTCTGTATACGCTACGAGAACCACCTGTCTAAGAGGACCAGTTTTCTTCCTGACAGTGGCTGATCATCTAGGACAAGTTCAGCTGTATTTGCTTGGCTCTCTTTCCATAGCACCAAGATTAGGGGCACACTTGACACTCCTTCCATAGCACCAAGATTAGGGGCCCACTTGACACTCCTTCCATAGCACCAAGATTAGAGGCACGGTGTCCTCAGGTCAATGGACAGAACTTTGCTTACATTCTCAAGTTTTTCCTACCCTTGGTTCTGCTGTTGGTGGGATGACACTCCTAGAAGAAAAACTGAGGTCCTGTGTGCCTTTGACATACATAAACGGTTCTGTCAGTTGATGGTCAAAGGTATCACCTGCTCAGCTTGCTTTCTAGGCAAAAATAAAAACACATCTAGGTGTCGATAATGGAAGAAGTTGTAATCCATCTGTAGAATTCAGAGTGTCTTTAGAAACAATATATGGCTTCTTCAGAAACAATATATGGCTTCTTCAAAAACAATATATGGCTTCTTCAAAAACAATATATAGCTTCTTCAAAAACAATACGGCTAGCGGCTGCTGGAAAAAATGAGGAAAACAAGCCTTGCAGACTGCCCCATATGTCTTGCAGGGACACACAAAAAACTCGCCAAGAATCTTTTAAAAAACTTTTCTCTCTCCCCCCCCCCTGTAGGTGGTGGTGGGGGCGGCAGCTATAATCAGCGGGAGGAGTACGGAGGCGGGAGAGACAGCTACGATGGCGGGAGAGGAGGTTTTGGTGGTCGTAAGTACTTGCTCCAAGTATTTAGTGAGCCAATAGTGGCAGAGATAACTTAGTCCCTGAAACTGTTTGCCAATGTGAGCCACACGGAACACAGAACTAAGGAAGAATGTTGCCCAGGGTGGAGTGGAATGTCTCTGTGTTTCTTTAGGATGGGGTGGCTGAGGAATTTGTTCCATCTCTGACACCACCGAGACTCTTCTACATTGCTTAGGAAAGGGGAAGTTTCATGTTGGCAAATTAAGTTTTCAGGATTAAATGTTCTCTTGCTCTTACTGGCCAATAAGCACAGCCATGCTTTAATGCTTTCCAGTTCTTGTTTTCTTTGTGTGTAGTCTCTATTTGATTTGCCTTTTTTAGAATTGGGACAAAGTAAATGCTTGACACTATGGTCATATTAACGTATGTATGTAGGAGGGCATGTCCTTTGGCTACCCATGCCTTCTCTTTACCTTTCTGTAGAGATGAATGAATTGTGATGATAAATGATTTCTTTGGAAAACTGAGGGAGGGGGACTATATTTATTTGTTTTTTGGTCCATGTTTTCTAGTTGTGCTTTGGAATGGTGTTTTTGTGCAAGTGCGATGTTTTTTTACAAACAGTTGGTGTCTTATTGCCCCAGTGGCACAAAAGTCTATTTGATACATTTGTCTCTCCTTGGAAAACTCTGGCTGCTGCTTTAATGTCTGTTTTTTTTTTCCTGTTTTCAGGAGGCCGTGGTGGCGGTGACCGAGGTGGCAGTGGAGGATTTGGGTGAGTGATGTTTCTTTTTTGTTGGGGAACAGGGAGGGAGAGAAGAGCACAGGTGATGTCACATGACCGAAGGTGTAGAAGTCCTGGTTAGTCCCGTACAGTTAGTGTGGTTAGTCCCGTACAGTTAGTGTGGTTAGTCCCGTACAGTTAGTGTGGTTAGTCCCGTACAGTTAGTGTGGTTAGTCCCGTCTGCTACTGGACTACAGTCTGTGTGTTGTACTGAAGGGGAGTTCTCTCGTCATTTTCTAAAGGACACAGGACGTATACAGTCCCGTGGGTTCTGGATGGAGTTGGGCTAGGTTGAGGCGACTCCCCCCTAAATACGATCTCTAGCAACTGTAGGTGTGCATGGCACAGGGGAGTCCTATGTGTGTTGAAGCTTTCATGTCCAATCTGTAAATGTTTGATGGTGTTGTTGTAGCTGTGGTGGGTGAGACTGGAAGGAGATGTTGGTGATGTAGAATGGCCTGTCTGGGGTTTTTTGTTTAATTTATGTAGCCTTTAGAAGTGTAAAGCAATTAGAAAAGCTGGCCTGTGCCTGGTGTGAGTTTTTGGAGGAGTTAGTTGATGCTCCTGCTGGACTGATACACATTACAGGAGTGTGTGGAGTGGACATATGCTGTCTACTAAAGCCAATAATGTAGATTTCAAATGGTTTGTTACGTCTTGTTACTTGCTCCTTTTTTTTTACTTTGTCCACACTCTTTTGGTCTAAATATACACTGCTTTTGCTCCCTTATGTACACAGGCATTTTGTCTCCAGCAGGTTTGTGCTATGATATAAGGTTGTGAAAAATGAGCTCAAAGTTGTGGGTATGAAAATGAAAAGGCAAGAGTGCTTTTTCTTTTAAATGTAAACTTAACTAGGTGAACAAAACAATGGTTTAGAAAACACAATAACCCAAAACTTGGTGCGCCTCATACACCAACAAAATTGTCTTGTAGTGTGGCTCTGATTGTCATTAGGTAACTAGTGGAGTGTGGTGACCTTTACTTAGTGTGGTGACCTCTACGTAGTGGTACTGTGTAAAGTAATGAGACGCGGTGACCTCTACGTGGTGGTACTTTGTGTCATAAGTTAATGAGATGCGGTGACCTCTACGTGGTGGTACTTTGTGTGATAAAGTAATGAGACGCGGTGACCTCTACGTGGTGGTACTTTGTGTCATAAGTTAATGAGATGCGGTGACCTCTACGTGGTGGTACTTTGTATCATAAGTTGAGACGCTGTGACCTCTACGTGGTGGTACTTTGTGTCATTAACTGTAATTAGATGTGGAGGTACTATGTGTCATTAACTGTAATTAGATGTGGAGGTACTTTGTGTCATTAACTGTAATTAGATGTGGAGGTACTGTGTGTCATTATGTAATGAGACACTGGACGTGATGGTACTTTGAGTTGCTGTGGGAGGATGGTTGCTGTGGTTCCCACAGTTTGATGAGTTGAAAGGTACAGTGATGGGGTTCCCATGGTTTGATGAGTTGAAAGGTACAGTGATGGGGTTCCCACAGTTTGATGAGTTGAAAGGTACAGTGATGGGGTGCATGCTGTT